TTTTTTAAACTGAGGTACGATATCAATTCAATAGAGAAGAAAATCATTTTCAACAAATGGTGCTGGAAAAAATAGATATCCATTTTGAAAAACATTAAAACTTAATCCCTAAATAACTCTCTAAACAACAATTAATTTGAAAGGAATCATAGATTTAAATGTAAAAGATAGAAAGAACCATAAAGCATCCAGAAGAAAACACTGAAGAGTATCTTGCAACTCATGGGGTAGGCAAAGATCCCTTAGATAGTACATAAAAACCACGAATGATAAATAGGAAAGTTGATGAGTTACATTTCATCCTTTTGTAAAATTTCTGATCATCAAAATTAATGTAAAAAAATGAAGCCACAGACTAGAAAAAAGTATACACACACAAGCATACACAAATACATATTTATATATATTATATATGATAAGGAACTTTTATATAAAATTTATATTTTGAAATGCTTGCAGATTAACAACAAAAAAACAAACAAAACAATAAAAATGGACAAGTCATTTTAATGAACACAAAATAAACACATAAAAACGTGCTCAACATCAATTTATCATAAAGAAAATTCAAACTAAAACCACAACGATGTATAGTTTACCAGAATGTATAAAATTTAAAAATTGACAATACCAAATGTTGACATGGATATGTAGTAACTAGAACTCTCATACATTCCAAGTAGTAGCATAAAATGGCAAAACCACCCTAACAAACTGCATGGCAGCTTCTTTTAAAGTTAAAGATGTATATAAACCTATGATGTTGTTTCATTTCTGTGTGTTTAGCCAAGGGAAATCGAAGTAGATTTATATGAAAATGTTCATAGTAGATTTATATATCTACGTAAGCCAAAAACTGTAAGCAACCTGTATGTCCATTAACAGAACTGATATTTGTGGAGTTGAATACTACTTAGTAATAAGAAATACAACCACTCACACATGAAACAATATTTAAAAGATCTGGGCGGGGGGCTCTCGCCTATAATCCCAGCACTTTGGGAGGCCAAGGCAGGTGGATTACAATGTCAGGAGATCGAGACCATCCTGGCTAACATGGTGAAACTCCGTCTCTACTAAAAATACAAAAAATTAGCAGGTCGTGGTGGCAGGTGCCTGTAGTCCCAGCAGCTCAGGAGGCTGAGGGAGAATGGCGTGAACCCGGGAGGTGGAGCTTGCAGTGAGCCGAGATCATGCCACTGCACTCCAGCCCGGGTGACAGAGCAAGACTCCGTCTCAAAAAAAAAAAAAAAAAAAAACTGAAGATCATTTATTTAATAAAAGACAGGAGACACAAAAGGATACATACTACATGATTCTACTTGCAAAAGTACACGAACATTTTTTTTCTGATGGAAAGCTCAGGAAAATCTTTTGTTGGGGTACTGAAAAGGTTTTATATCTTGCGTTGAGTGGTGGTTACACGATATTGCACTTGTTGTTTGGGTGATGTCAGAACTCATGGAACCACATATTTAGGATCTGTGTGTTCTGTTACATACAAATTTTACCTCAATAAAATATTTAATTAAAATAGTACTGTTTTAGTTTGCTTAGATGGCCATAACAAAACACCATAAACTGGGTGGCTTAAAAAACAAATGTATTTTTTCACAGTTCTGAAGACTGGAAGTTCAAGATCAAGATGCCAACAGGCTTGGTGTCTGGGGAAGGCTCCCTGCTTGAACTCCAGATGTCTGTCTCCTCTCTGTTGGTTCAAGTGACCTTTCCGCTGTTCCTGTGCCTGGGGAGAGAGTGAGCAAGCTCTCTGATGTTTCTTCCAGTAAAGATACTAATCTTATTGGATCACAGTGCTATCCTGCGACTTCGTTTAACTTTAGTTACTTCTGTAAAGGCCCTATCTCCAAACAGAGTTATACTGGGGATTTGGGTTTCAGAATATGAACGGGGGAGCAGATGACAAACATTTGATCCATAACAAATACTGAGAAATAATTTCTTTAGAAAAGAAGACCCAAGTTTATTGGAGAGGATTTCTCGTTTCGAGAGTTTTGTTGTGTTTTTTTGTTTGTTTGTTTTAGACTTCCTTGCATGGAACATGAAATTAGATGAAAGAAATGAAAAGAAGTACAATTCTACACTTGGAAAAGTACCTGTAATGTGCTGAGAGAAGTCATTTATTTTTAAAATTAATTCTCACAATGCAAAACAGAAAATTGGGTTAGCAAACAGAAAAGGTTTTGTGAGAACCCTTCAGTTATGAAGATATGAATAATTCCAAACATTTGTAACACTTTAAAGTATTTTATAAAATAATGTTTTAAAATCCTGTCTCAAAATATAGGAGGAAAACAAACCAACCACCAAGTACATGAAATGTTAAATTTCATGATGAGAAATATGGAAAAAGTGCATGGCGATAATGAAAACCAATGACTTAATCAGATGTTGAACTGAAATATTATTCAGAAAAATAATTCTAAGAAGAAAATGTTTTGGAAGAAAATTAATCGAAAAAAAACCATACAGGCTGCTCCTTACTTCTAAAATATATCCCAATTTGAAGAACAAAAAGCCTCTTTTTCCACTATTGTCTCTAAGATATTCAGGGCACACATTACAAGGCTGAAAATAAGAAAAAGGTACTTTACTCCTTACCATACATAAATTTCCCAGGAAATGTTTTTTTTTCTTCTGATAGCCAACAAAGAGCAAAGATCACTTCTATACCTAGGATGTAATCAATGATGTAAAATAAATGTGGGCATAAATGGTGAAACTAGTATTACTCACAGCTAAAAATTTGATGTGTTTTATGTATGTAAAGGCCATAATAAATCAATATATTTTCCAAGTAAAATTTTTGCCTCTCAGCCTCAGAGGCAGCAGAGATTTTTAACTAATTTTTCCTTTGTGTTCTTTATATCCCAATGTTAGTGAGGTATGTTACTTTTTTTCTTCTGTTTTATTTGTCCCTGAGAGCCTGCCTCTATGTATTGAAAGTATTTCTGTAGTTTTCATTTTATGACAAACTCATTGTTGGAATCAGCACCATCTTTTATCTTAAATATTGTTTATCTGGAAGTAAAGATAGGATCCAGTGAAGAAAAGAGACATTTTACTATCAGGTTTTTAAAATCCCTTTGCAAATAATCTTAGAAAATAATTGAAGTCAATCTTTTCCATAAACTTAATTAGAATTTCTGTACAAAGGTGATCTATTTTTTTAAATAAACAAAATAAAGGAGCCATATCATGCAGTTATGGTCTTTAATCATCTGTGAGGCCCAAATATATAATCCATGCAGCAAATTTGAGCAAATTAATAACTTACTATAAGTAGCAGATGCTGTTCCTTCACCACCCAAATTCCCAACCCTACACACATAGTGCATATCTGCCAGGTTTACAATGGCATCTCTGCTTTTTTTTTTTTTTAAATTTCAATAGCTTTTGGGGTGCAAGTGGTTTTTGGTTACATGGATAAATGATATAGTGGTAAATTTTGAGATTTTAGTGCACCCATCACCTGAGCAGTGTACACTGTAGCCAGTATATCGTCATTTATCCCTCACTCCCTCCCAACCTCCCTCTGCCCAAGTGCCTGAAGTTCATTGTATCACTCTGTATGTCTCTGTATTCTCATAGCCTAGCTCTCACTTATAAGTCAGAACATACAGTATTTGGTTTTCCATTCCTGAGTCATTTCTCATAGAATTATGGCCTACAACTCATCCAAGTTGCTGCAAAAACATTATTTGTTCCTTCTTATGGTTGAGTGGTATTCCATGGTGCATATATATCACATTTTCTTTATCCATTCATTGGTCAATGGGCACTTAGGTTGGTTTCAAACCTTTGCAATTGCAAATTCTGCTGCTATAAACATGCATGGGCATGTGTCTTTGTTAGGTAATGACTTTTTTTCCTTTGGGTAGATACCCAGTAGTGGGATTTCTGGATTGAATGGTAGATCTACTTTTAGTTAAGGAACCTCCATGCCGTTTTCCATAGAGGTTGTACTAATTTACATTCCCACCAACAGTATAAAAGTGTTCCTTTTCACCACATTCACTCTAACATCTATTGTTTTCTGACTTTTAAATTATGGCCATTCTTGTAGGAGTAAGGTGGTAACTCATGGCATAAATTTGCATTTGCCTGATGATTAGCAATATTGAACATTTATTCATATGTTTGTTGGCTGTTTATATATCTTTTGAGAAATGCCTATTCATGTCCTTTTCCCACTTTTTGATGGCATTATTTGTATTTTTCTTTCTGATTTGTGTGAGTGCCTTTTAGAGTCTGAGTACTAGTCCTTTTTTGGATGCATAGTTTGCAAATACGTTCTTCCACTTTGTGGGTTGTCTGTTTGCTGATAATTTATTTTGCTTTGCAGAAATTTTTTAGTTTAATTATTAGGTCGATACAAAAGTAATTGTGGTTTTTGCCATATTTTTGCAAAAAATCCATTTGCCTATATGTCCCATTTATTTATTTTTGTTTTTGTTGCATTTGCTTTTAGGGTCTTAGTAATGAATTCTTTAGCTACTAAGACCCTAAAAAAATGAGGACTGAAGAGAGAAAAATTACGTCTCAAAACTTACCTTGCACCTGTCATTAAATCTACTTTTGTTAGTTTTTTTTTAAGTTTTTACCTACATTTTAAGCTAATGCTGCTTATTTCTGTGAACCAGCCACTGATTTCCAGCTACAGCTCAGAAGAAACAAAAGGTATGGGTAGTGTAAAAATCTGGATCAGTATTCTAGTTCTGGGCAATTATCCTGCAAATCCTGCCAGGTAGGTGATAAGAGTAAGTAGGGTGCCCATAACCTGGAGGTTTCCTTGTTTGGGAAAACAAGACCAAAGAAGCTGACCAAAGCCAAGCCCCATGCACCCAAATCTTAGCAGGCATAACTATAGCCACCAGTTATTAGGGCATGTTGGCAGCCTCAGGATTTTTAAGCTGTCTTTACCCCCTTGTTTCATTTTTATACATGTTGTCTAATAACCTGGCTTGTCCTTCTCACCTTCTAGCCACCAAACTCCAAATGGTTGTGCAACCAGAGCCTTGCAAGATGGTTCCCTTTAAGAGACCCTTAGGTAAGACTCTGAGGGAGATCTAGTTGCCATCTTCCCAAAAAATTGCCCTTTGTCAGCAGGAAGCAGTTATGATCGGTCATCATCCCTATTCTAACAGCAGTTAGATGTACCTCTTCAGAGCAGTGAATCGATAGTGACTGGAGGCAGTCAAATGCCTAGGCAGATGGGGAGGGGCCCGGGTAAAACCCCACCTCCAAACCAAAGAGAGTTTAAAGCCTGAAAGCCAAGCTACAAGTTAAATCCTCAGACCAGGTTGAGAACCTGTCTTCCTGTTTGGCACACTTTCCTCTGACTGATCCCCACTCTTCACCTATTTTACATATACCTACCCTTTCCTAATTTGGTTTTCTACACTGCCATGCCCACCTTTGATTGGTGTCTTTGCTTTAAACTTTTTTTGCATACTGACAAACAAATCAATACCCACTCCCCATTCTGAGTCCATAAAAAGCCCCAGACCCAGCCACAGAGAGAAATAAAATAAAATAAAATAAAATAAAATAAAATAAACACCTGACTGTGGGGGGTGGGGGACCCCAAGTCCCCTCATCTCCTCTCCACTGAGAGCTGTTGTGTCACTCATTAAAATTTTTCTCTGTCCATCCTCACCCTTCAACTTTCAGCATATCCCCATTCTTCTTGGATGCAGGACAAGAGCTCAGGAACTGCTGAACACAGGTACACAAACTATAATACAGGTGAGCTAGGGCATGACCAGCCATGAGCTGAGCCGGTGTGCAAGCCAGACTTGGTCTGGGGAGGCCAAGTAGGCAGGGCACCTCCAGTGGCAGGCCTGAGGCTGAGTTAGGCCCAGTGGGGTTGGGGGTTGTTGCCGGCCAGAGGTCCCAGCTGGCAAAGTGACTGAGAAAATTCCTGCATCACTATTAGTGTAGAGAATAATTTTATTTTCCTCCGCCTGGGAAATCATAAACCTTGGTACTGACGTTTTGGGGACAGGAAGAAAGGGTTGCTGAGGGTCTCATAATTTGATGAAACTTCCCTGTTTTGATTATGTTGTTTTACCTTTGAGCTCACCTATATTGTGTGCCCCAGAGCCTTGAGACTCTGTTTCCATTTTTCCTAAAAATAAACCTCCACTTTTTTTCAGGGATCAGAAAAAAGATTGCTGCTTGTAAAAGGTAAGACTGGTAAATAACTTACATATTAATTTCACTAATTAACATATAATTATCTCTCTATTCAGCCCCATGCCTTCATCTGTATTTCACTGGTTCTTCCATTTCCTTTTTTTTTTTTTTATGAGACTGCAGGCTGGACTGCAGTGGCATGACTCCCTCCCAGACCCAACAAGTAGCTGGAACTATAGGCATGCACCACCACACCCACACCCAGTTAAATTTTTTTTAAGAGATGGTAGTCTCCCTATGTTGCCCAGGCTTCTTCAATTTCTGACATTTTCCAGGATGAAGCAAGGGGTATCAACCTTTTCTTATTATTTATCCTGTATGCTCTTAGGTTTCAGCTTCCTCTGCTATGTCAGTCATCACTCTTCCAACTGAGGCCATGCTTCACCTACTACTGTTTTCCTCTCCAGTTTTCTTTATCCTTATAGCCTTATTATTTTCTTGCTTATTCCTTTTATGGTTTTTAATGGGATATAAAAATGAAACAAAGAGAAACACTTGGATTAAAGTCATCATGATTAATAAAAACTAGAAATTGTTTTTTCAAGATAATATTGGACAAGGTTATCAAAACCATCATAAGTCTTACCATGGTTCTAGTTCTGCAATGTGTATGATCTGAGAGTATGTTATGAGAGTTGTGTGGCTTCTCTGTAGAGAAGTTTTATCATAAGAGGTAGGAATAAAGACCTCAAAGAAAGAGGATGATTTACCCTGCTGCAAAATTATGTTCAAGATATAAAAGCCAAAGTGGGATGGCAAGATGCCCAAATGAATGTAGCCAGGTGAAACAGCTCCCACTGAGAAACTGAGAGGCCTGGCATGCTCCTAACAGGTCTTCAAAGGGAAGGTACCAAGAGTGAATTCAGGGAAGACACAGAAGCTGGGCTGAATAGAGAAAAGGTTGGGAACTCTGCATGAGGCTACCATGCACTGGGACTCATTCCTGGCCCCCAAGGGCTCGAGGAGAACAGGTGAGCTGAACTGACAAGGAGCAACCCACTCCCACCAAGGGCCTCTGGAACCCTGGCAAGAGGAGAATTCCTTGACCACCAAGGACACTCAAGTTGGCAGGGACATCTTAGAGAAGTGGTAGGGGCAGCAAGCCAGCTGATGAGCAGCCCAGAGGGTTTGGTGCAGAAGGGTCTATAGCACAACATGACCTGGGATGGCCATTCCCATGGGCTTGACTTTCTCGTATAGGATACTTTAGCCCTAGGAGAACTAAACTCTGCAGGGAAGTCTTGCCAGTCAGACAAGACTGGTCTGACCTGAGCATCTCTTGATCTGCTGGCTTGTCCCAGGGCCCCAGCTGGGCCACACCTGCTTGCAGGGCAGTCTGAAGTACTCGGGGGGCCCACACCCCTTCTGCACTGGCATGCCATGCCTACCCACAGAGCGCTTCATCAGGTCAGCCCCTAAGTCCATACACCAACCTGCATGTGCCTTCCCCATACTGCAGCTTGTCCCAGGCCCATGGCAACTCCCCACATCACTTTACTGGTGCATATTTGCCCAGATGAGTTTTGATTTCTTTGCTCCACCAGTTCATGGGAGAGCAGCCTGTTCCCCTTTCCCCAGATGACCACCATTGCAGACAGAGCCTTTACAGCCCATCCTCACAAGTACCCTGCCATTGCGCTAACACTGTGCAGAAAACAGTGGATAATTCCCCTACCCCCAGTGACCACGCCTGCCTTTGGAGAACAGAAAAGGCAGCCAGAGCTGAGCCTACCAGTAGCCCACCCCCAAGCCAACACCACCTCTAGTGGACTGTCCAGACAGTCACCAGCAGGGACTCCCTGCCCCCACCAGCTGCATTGCCTCTGCCTCTGTGGAGAATGCCCACAGGGAGATAGGCAACTCCCACCCACTAGCACTCTACCACAGCTGCTGCTACCATGGCTGCTGGCACATGCTAATGAAGATGGATCCTGCTGTCACTGCACTATAAAATGCTTTGGCTGACACCACCCATCAGAGTGTAGTGACCAGCAGTCTGGGGCACCTTGCTCGCCTCAGTACAGTGGATTTCTAACCTCAAGGAGCCAGAGAACAAATTCAGGACCTAGTATAAGTCCCCCAGAGTTAACGCACATAGTCCAGGAGTTAGGAACTGAGCATTAGTCCCCTAAAATCTTTCAGAAACAAAGCAGTCAGCTGAATTCACCTTGTACCATAATCAAACCCTCAAAGTCATCAAATAGAATTAAAAAAAAAATCCAAAGGTCAGTAACCTCAAAGATTAAAGGTAGATAAGCCCACAGAGATGAGAAAGAATCAGTGCAAGAACCCTGACGGCTCAAAAATTCAGAGTGTCTTCTTTCCTCCAAATGAGTGCAGCACCTCTCCAGCAAGGGTTCTGAACCAGGATGAGATGGCTGAAATGACAGAAATAGAGTTCAGAATACAGATAGGAACAAAGATCACTGAGCTACAGAAGTATCTTCAAACCCAATCCAAAGAAGGAAAAAAATCATGATAAAACAATGGAGGAGCTGACAGACAAAATACCAGCATAGAAAATAATGTAACCAACCTGATAGAGCTGAAAAGCACACTATAAGAATTCTATAATTAAATTATAAGTATTAATAGAATAGATAAAGCAGAGGAAAGAATCTCAGAGACCAAATCTATAACTCACTGATGTCCCTGACAGAGAAAAGGGTGAATGGAACCAACTTGGAAAACATATCTCAGTATATCATCCATGAAAATTTTGCCAACCTAGCTAGATAAGCCATCATTTAAATGCAAGAAACACAGAGAACCCCAGTAAGATACTCCATGAGAAGATCATCCCCAAGACACAAAATTGTTAGATTCTCCAAGGTTGCAATGGAAGAAAAATTGCCAAGGCAGCTAGAAAGAAAGGTCAGATCACCTACAAATAGAAGCCTATCAGACTAACAGTGGACCTGTCAATGGAAACCCTATAAACCAGAAGAGATTGGGGACTTACATTCAACATCCTTAAAAAAAAAAAGAAATTCCAACAAATAATTTCATGTCCAACCAAACAAAGCTTCATAAGCAAAGGAGAAATAAGATCCTTTTCTGACAAGCAAATGCTGAGGGAATTCATTACCGCCAGACCCACTTTAATAGAGCTCCTGAAGAAAGCACTAAATATGGGGAGAAAAGACTATTACCAGCAACTACAAAAACTCACTGAAGTACAAAGACAGGCCAGTGACACTATGAAACAACCACAAGTCTGCAAATTAACCAGCTAGCACCATAATGACAGAAAAAAAATCCACACATATCAATACTAACCTTGAACGTAAATGGGCTAAATGCTCCAATTTAAAGACACAGAATGGCAAGCCAGATAAAGAACCAAGACCCATTGGTCTGCTGTCTTCAAGAGACCTATCTATATGCAGTGACACATATAGGCATAAAATAAAACAATGAAGAAATATATACCAAGTAAGTGGAAAAGAGAAAAAAGCAGAGATTGCAATCCTAGTTTCAGACAAAACAGATAGACTTTAAACCTAGAGATCAAAAAGGACAAAGAAGGGTATTACATAAAGGTAAATGGTTTAATTCAACAAGAAGATCTAACTCTCATAATATATACATGCACCCAACACAGGAGTAACCAATTTATAAAGCAAGTTCTTAGAGACTTTCAAAGAGACTTAGACCTCCATGCAATAATAGTGGGAAATTTTAACACTCCACTGACAATAGTAGATAATTGAGACAGAAAATTAATAAATGTATTCAGGACCTGATCTCTGCAGTGGGTCAAATGGACCTGATAGATATCTATAGAACTCTCCACCCCAAAACAACAGACTATATATTCTTCTCATTGCTATAAGGCACACACTCTAAAATAAATCACATAATCAGAAGTAAAACACTCCTCAGAATATGCAAAAGAATGGAAATCCTAACAAACACTCTCTCAGACCAGAGTACAATCAAATTAGAAATCAAGACTAAGAAATTCATTCACAAACCATACGATTACATGGAATTTGAATAACCTGCTCCTGAATGACTTTTGGGTAAATAATGAAATTAAGGCAGAAATCTATAAGTTCTTTGAAACTAACAAGAACAAAGATACAACCTACCAGATTCTCTGGGACATAGCTAAGGCAGTGTTAAGACGAAAACTTATGAAACTAAATGCCCACATCCAAACGTCAGAAAAAAATAAAAAAACTTAAAGTTTAAAAAAGATATAAAAGCCTTTATATTTCTGTAGAAGCTGTGCTTTGTTTGTTAAACAAGGTCTTTTCAGAAGAACTATGTATATTTTCATTTAATATGTATGAATCCTGCATACTTGGTGCCAAAGTGGTAATTTTTGCCTTATGGAAAAATAAGAACATTAAGAGTTTGTACATCTATCCACAAAACGAGTCTTAGAAACAGTCACACAGAGTCAGTGAACTTGATTAAGTATAGCACATTAAAAGTCAAACATTTGAAATACATTGAGGGCTAAGAAGTGGAATGTAAATAAATTTATAAAAATTGATCTAACTTCATCAAATTAGGATGTATCTAATGAAGCATAAACCCAGAATGTAAAGAAGAAAAAAACTGTCTTGTAAATAGGGTAACTATATGGGTGAATATACCCAGTGCAGTTTCCAACCAATGACAACCAAGACTCAGATCAGAAGTAATGCTTTGACATGATCCCTTACCAGTAAAATCAAGTCTATCATGTTTTTAACCAAGAATCTCGATAAAATAATGTGATTTCATTTATCAAAGGAATAAGTTACGTGTTTTAAATGGGATTGAGATTTGGTATGTCAAAAGAATAAAAGAATAGTTTCAAGTGAGTAAGCATAATGGATTTGCAAGTGGTGTAAATATTAAATGGCAGTTAATACTGAAATTCAGTTGCATTTCCTAAAGATTACCTGGGTCACCAAATACAGAAATATTTAACTATTTTACTAAAATTGCTGCAACTAAGGTAAGCAATCATCAACCACCAGAAGTTTTAACTGGTGTTTAGTCTTTGACAATGACATAGATACATTCTGGCTTCATTAAGGGTAGCTAAGTGATGCCATGTATTTTACATGCCAGGGGGGAGTTATTTAAT